ACACAACACTCCAATCAAAACACGCATTCTCATTGGTTGAAACGTGAGTTTCGTGACATCACAGATGTCCTAATTTATCGGGATATTCCGGACTGATTACTTCCAGCTGCAAACTAATTTTCCTAAATTAACAAATGTCCGCTATTAACTTTAGTAAAGCACAAAAGAACACGATCAAGGTTTAGTAGACGAAACAAGGGAAGACCAGCTCTGTTTTGCCTGACATGTGAGCAAATAAACCTTAAGAAAGTCAACAAAAAATTGCCTTCCCGTACACACGCGCTTATTGAAAGATACTTGTCAAGTAACTCTTTCTCTAGAATATTAACGCTCAGTTTCCAGCCAATCAATGAAGAGCTGCGTTCCTCTCCAGCCAATCAAGATCATGCAAAAGCGGGTCTCCGCGAGTTTTCCCGCGCTTTCTTGACGACTGCTGTCGGCCAATGAGCTTAAATGTCACGATGCTTGAGCCCTCGATCCTCTTGGTCAACACCGAACAAAATTTCGCAGGAAGTGAAGTAATCGTGGCTTAAAAGCCAGTGCAATTTTTGGGCGATACCCTTTAAGGGTTATCTCTTTTTACATTGTGCGCAAACCAGTTCATTGACGTTGAAAAGCTGTTGTTGATGGCATGGTCGAACTTCTTCTTGAAGTCTTTGATGGCGTCTTCTTCTGTAAGAGACAGCACGAGTGTTTTTCTCAAGTAACCAATGTCGTCAAGTGACCGCAGCTCTGGGAGGCCAGCGGACAACATCATGACAAACAGGTTGATCAGAAGAGGTCCCTTGCGGCGAAGTATCAGAAAGGCTCTTTCACAGAGCTGTTTAAACCTAAAACAAAGGGCAAAATAAATATAATTGTATACCGCTCAACTCCAATACGTTTTCCGATTGGAGGAGAACGTGACAATTGTCGCGGGTCAAAACTCGCTAACTCCCTAGGGCAAACAAAACTCACTAACTCCCTAGGGCGAAAAAATTCACTTACTCCCAAGGGAAACAACAACTCGAGCGTTCGACTCGCACACGATTTGGTCGTGCACCTTGAAACTGCAGCAAATTTGCTGGCCAGCCGGCGTCAGGCAAATAATTCTTTCGCAGTTTTATGTTATTTTTGAGTTGAGAGGTATACCAAAACACTCCAAAAACTGGCCCCTACACGGGAAACAGTGAGTTTTGTTTCCCCTCGACTTCAGTGTTACAAAACTAAGTGTTTTCCCTTGGAGCCAGTCATTTAAAAGTGCTTAATGGCATCGGCCGCAATTAAGACAACTTTTTTATAAAACCCAGTTAAATGTTCGGATAAAGTAACGCGTGTTAGAGTGTAAACTCGCTCTAATGTGCCTGGAGGTTCCAGAGTCTAATTCTCTTAGAAATGCAAACTCTTATTCTTCCAGCTGCAACTGCTGCTACTACTTTACGGGATACAAACTTAACTGAGCCTGGAATTCTGCCCAAGAGAGACTCAGATGGCTCAAAACAAGATACATGTACTTGAACTTATACGCCGCCGTACATTACTTGCAAAAAATGTCGGACTATCTAATTTCGGACAAAAAAAAGTGTCCGAAAATAAAACCGTCCCGCAAATTTTTAATCATCCAAAATATTTACATTACAGTATAATAACTTTTAAGTGGCTCCAAAGATCTTAGTTTCCTTTATGGAGCGAACTGTAGTCGAGACTGCTTGAGGTACGTAACGGTTTGATAGAATTTGAATGTGTTATTTATTTTGTGTTATAAAACTGCAGTGAAACTTTCATTTTCACAATCTTGTTTCAGTCTCATTCTTATTTTGTGGGCGTAAATTCGCGTTAGCTACGTTTCAGGAAAATGTCCGACATTGTTTTGATATGCGATAAGAAGTGTCCGAAAGTTAAATGTCCTTACGTTTTTGTAAGTAATGTATATTTGGACCCAAATAATGGCACAAAGGAGAATAGAAGGATTACTTTTCAAACTCCACCGTGTCTTTTCCCTTGCCCTCAGAAATCACGTGTACAAAATGATCGGTGAGTACAAAGGGCACTCTTTCCCTCCGAACTCCAAAGTTGCTAATAAAGTTCCCCAGGATGTGACTGAAATCGATGTGGAACAGCTGCAAAGAAAACGAATTGCTGACTAAACATCGAACTGTTGATAATCAATGTGCAGTTTGTCCTTTAAAAGTGACACACTGTAGTTAAGTATCAACAACAGTTTCTCAAGATACAAAGTGAGAAACAAAGAACGACGTTTCACTCCTCCAGGTAAAATTACAAAAGTCTGTGTTCCGGCCAAAAAGGCCCACAATCGGCAGAGTTCATATCGGTTTCTGTGGCATAAAATGGCTAGAGTATTTCGTCTCTTGTCTTAGTATGTGAAAGGTCTCCCGCAATCAGCTCGCTTAGCTTCACTAGCCATGTTTTGCCGCTCTCAGCCCCACTATGTTCCCCCCCGTCCCCCTCCCCCCTACAAGGGATGCTAGTCCATTGCAAATTATCCCCAGGATTTTTTCAAGCTGTCCCCACAATATTCACCGGTACTCATTTATACACTTGAGTAGAAGAGAGGCACCGTGAGAGATACTTACTGGGGTAATGTTGTCTTTTCTGTTTTGTGATTCTAATGAACCTACCTGTCCTGTTTTCTTCACCATAATGTTGTCACTGTGCCTGTCACCCACCCCCAGGACATACGTAGCCACACAGTACCCTGCACAGGAAAGCGTGAAACGACGAACAGCCTCGATTAAACTACAGAGGAAACATAAACAGAAGTAATAGTTACAATTCAGGCTTGAACAAACACACACAAAAACAAACAAAAAACAAACACAAAAGAAAAATAAAACATGGTACGCGAGCCAAAGCCTAAGGAGCAGTGATAACTAGTGCATTTCAATCATCAAGACTTCAAAATATATATATAAAAATTTTGGGAGTGCTTGGAAGACAATCTCTCCAAAGCATGAAGTTACCTTGATATTCGATTGAATTACCTTATCCTAGTGTGGAGAATAACTCAGAATGCGATCCAATGATGATTCATGGATAAATTTCATCTGAGATTTTTCCATGCCTGAAAATCTAATCACGCGCGTTCCACAGATTTTCTTTCAGGATTTCTAAACTCAGTGCAAACACTGCAATACACACCTCTCTTCAGTAGCATGGTATTCCTTTAGCCAATCCCAAATACAGTTCTTAGCGAAGGTTGCAGCAACACCTTTATTTTTCTGTAGCTTGGCTATAGTCTCCGCATCATGGACGACCTCGATCATTCCGATAGAACTGCCAGTGGACAAACAACCATACGGGATCATTCTGGAAGACAAAGGATTAGAGTAGTTAAGCTTGCTTTTGAGTGACCAATCAGGTCGGCGCTTCAAAGGCCATTTCCGAATTACTTTTAGCCTCTTTCTCAAAGCGAGTCTTGGTGCCCATCCTTTGATATGAAAATGAGATTTCATTCACATGCAAATTAACCTCACTTTCATATGGATGGTTGAGCACCAAGCCTCGCTTTGATAGAGAGGCTAAAGGTAATTCGGAAATGGGCTATTCTGGTTTCCGTAGGATGAAGCGA